TATGGATATTTTTCTTACAAAAACGCATCGATTCGCTACAGGAGGCCTTTGTTCACCCCCCGGAGCCGTGTGAGACCCTTTTTATTATAAATGGATGCGCTTTATTTCACTTCTTTTGGACTGATGCAATGCAGCACCCTCTGACTGCCATTAAACAGCTTGGAAGACAATTTTTAATATAACTCCGATTGGATTCGTCTGAAAGAAGATTAAATCTTGTTCTTTAATCGGTAACACTTTACAATAAGGTCCCATTACTTAACATTAATGCATTAACAATAGGGCTGCACGATTAATCGCATGCGATATTTAACGCGCATCTTGTCAGTAAAGACGGTTCTGTAATCAATCGAGCTGCGCAAAAAATCGCGCGAATATGAACGTTGTTTTGCGCAACTCGGCGCGTTAAATATCGCATGCGATTAATCGTGCAGCCCTAATTAACAATGAGCAATGCATTTGCTAGAGTATTTAAATAATATTATAATAATATAATATTAACAGATACAACTTTTGATTTTGCATTAGTAAATGTTGAAATGAACATTAGGATAAGTAATTGCTTCAGAAGTAGCCTATTTTTCATAGTTAGTTCACCTTTATCAACTAATGTTATTACAAAGTGTTATCTTTCATTCTACATATTTGAACTGTTACATCATGTCATGACAAAAAAACAGCATTAAAACTTGTCCCAATATGTATATATTGACAATGTTTAAATCTAAAATCAAAACCAGGAGTATCAAATATTGAAAAATTGGAGGTAGTTGCTGCAACACGACTATGAGGTGTACAAACAACGTGCCAGTTTAAACTAAAAATATAATTGTACAGGTTACTACGATTTCTCAACAAACCAGGGCAGCAAAAAGAAAAAGCACAACATGCTGCTTAAATGACAGAGGTATTATTAGGATAATGTCACAAAAAATTGTTACAGCCTGTGGAAAAATCAATGCGTGTAGCGTCACCCAATGAAAGCCAGCCTGCAAACAGATGCATTATGGCAGAGAATCACACTACCATACCAACATCCCCACATAAAAACAGACATTATCAGCAAACAACAGCCAGAAAAACACACTCTGCATTCAAATACTAGCAAAAAGCACACATCCAGTCTCATGGGATCCACAAATGTCACTCATATACATCCGAGTCCTTGAACCACTAGGCCCTGCAGAGGAAATGAAGACACCCATGGAAAGGCCATATCGCCTGTATACATTTCCCTTCAAGCATTTGTCTGCCATCGGATCGTGAAAACCTAAGACATGGCACCCAAATATGTCATAAATTCAAGCCTATGCTCTGCTGTGATTGGATAGGCTATACAATAAATGTTAATCTTCACACTGATGATATAGGACATAGTGCACTATATCCTTGTCAAATACTGGCTCGTATATTAGATATATTTATCATTCTAACGTCATGCATGATGCAAATTGATAACGAAATATAGCTCCTTAATGATTTCATTCGAATAGTGCTTGCATACATACTAAATGTTGACGTTTAAACTATTTTGTAGGACAATGACAGATATTGTCATTGTAACATCGCACGGCAATGATGCATTTAGATGCATAATGCATATTTTTGATGACATATATAGATGCTTAATGCGTATAGATAAAGAGGCTCGTGACTCTAAGACAATAACTGTAGCGTTTCTGCTCAAAAAATGAAATATTGCATATATATTGCAGCCGAATCTGTGCCTTTCTTTAGATGATGCCAATGATGCTCAGTTGCAACAGCTGTGATGCGTCTTTATAGTCACCGACTGTTCATTTCTTTAAAAAACGCCTGATTATGACAAGCAGTGACAACATCAAAGGTCTAACGGGACCAAAACGAGCGCAAAATCCTCTGCATCAGCATCATCAGCATCTTTTTTTGTTTGTTTGTTTTTGCTCTGACTCGGACGCAAAACGACTGCACTCCATCATTTGTTTAAAAAGATCCATTTTAACTCGAAACGCGCCAGGCCGCTGCGTGAATATCGTACCTTTGATGAGGTCTTTCCTTTCAGCTGAGGAGGATGGTGATTCGGCTTATATCCAGAGATAAAACTCCGACATCGATTAAAACGCTCAGGTCCGATCTGACACGGTAAATTCAAATTCATCAGTATGCATTCGTTATTTTGCGCGTGAGAGAGCGCGAGAGCTTCCTCGCGTTCGGCGCGCGCTGCCAGTGTTTAAGCGTCACGCGGCGTCAGTGAACGGTGAAACGAGCTGAACTCCCACTCTGGCTTGTGCACGCACAAACCGAGCTTACTTTAGTGAGGAGCGCTCCGAATCATTTAGGGAATCGGTTCGTTTAAATGGATCATTTCTTAGGATCACTTGAGCCATCACTCAGTTCCCAATGTTGGATTTTACTTTTCTTTTTTTTCATCGCTACAATATTGGTAGCAAAAATGCTGTTAACAAAAGTTGCTGTTCACATTATGTTAACATGAATATTAATAGGCTACTGTCCCAAATCTGGAAAGCATCTTCTGTGTACAAACTTCTGACAGACGTCTGTAAGATGTCAGTTTTTCATACATTCTAAACCATTAACATCTTAAAGACATCTAATATACGTCTATTTGACATCTAAAAGGAAACGTCCTATAGACGTAATGCAGATGAGCAAAGCAAACACTCTAAAAACATGTCTTCCAGATGTAAATGCAGACGTCAAATAGACGTCTCCGTGATATTATCAGTTTTGTGAATAATATTGTTTTCACATTATTTTTTAAAAGTAGCCTAATGTCGAGTAATTTATGATTTCAGTGAACGCTTTATGAAATGATTCAACTGGTGAGTAAATAATCACTGAAAATTGTTACTCAGCAGCAGTTTACAGGTCAATTTTGTTGTATAATTAGGTTGTTGTTATTTAAATATTATATTCGAATATAATATTACATTAGCCCAGATAGCACAAGTAGCCTAGTACGTCTGCAAGATGTCTGTTAAAGATCACTTGATCTATCTGGTGCTCTGTTAAAAGATCTATCAAGTGATCTGTTAAAGATCACTTGATCTGGAAAGCATCTGCTGTGTACAGACATCTGGTAGACGTCTGTAAGATCTCAGTTTTTCATACATTCTAAATCATAAACATCTTAAAAACATCTAATATACGTCTGTTTGACATCTGATAGGGACAGGATATATATTACTTGAATATTTGCGTCCGTCCCTTACGAAAAAGACGTTTATTCAAGTGTGCTATTAGTATACTTCTTTTAAACTAAAAATAGGAAAGTATACTTTTAGTCTACTTTTTACAAGTCAATAACCAATCAAGATCAAACCATTCAAGCCAACCAGCTTCCTGTAACACGAGTGAGTCGGTAAACCTGTTTCTGGTGAAGAGGGGAAACAGATGAAAAGAAACTTTCAAATTTAGCCAGAATATCGATTAAAAACAAATTACTGAATGATAGGTTCATATATGAATTTTCCATAAGTGGAGGATGAATGTGCACAGGTGACATGTTGCTCTCACTATGTAGGCCTATTCCTGTTTATCAAGGGAATATCGTTTGTTTAACTGAGCATAATTATCAGCAAATATATGAAAACCTGCTGCAGTCTTGCATTGGGTCTTTTAACTTTTATTTACATAGCTATTTTTACATATTAGCCTCCAATTAAAAACTATAAAGCCTAATACATATATGGGATTTCGTCACATGTTGTGTTTATTTTTCCAACAATAAAAATAATTATGATAATTAATATATTAGTATCAGTTATTCAGTTTTGTTAAAACGGGATTTTACTCAAAGTCAGTCCTTACGAATCAGTTCGACCGAATCTTCAATAAGAATTGATTGAAAAAAAAGAATAATTCGTTCGCGAATCGCGAATCGGACATCAGACTCAGTAAGAATGAACAAACTGCTGGCAGGTGTTTGGCAGTACACAATAGAGCAACATGTATTTGCTAATAATAATAATAATAATAATAATAATAATATGTTAGCCTATTTTCAGTGATTGTGACATATTTACATCCAGGAATTTTCTTTGCTTTGCAATTTGCTCTTAACATGCACATAGTAAGATTACTATATGTCTCACGAAAAATGATCAAATCTTACAAACATTATAAAACAGCTAAATTAATACACTCATATACTGTAATAAAACAACAAGGCAATGTAACTGAAGCCTTTAAAAACATGCAATTAGAGCTCAGAGAGTAAGGACTTCCCTTGAGTAATCATTTTCAAGGAGAAAATTTGTAATCTGACTTTTCTGAAGAAAAACAAATATATTTTTTGCAGCGTTTCACACATTCTTATGAGAGGTGAACCTATTATTTCTGGAGTGTAGCAAACACAAACAGCAAACAGGACAGTGATATAGGCCTAATTCTGCTCCACTGCAGTCAATAATCATTTATTTGGGCATGTTCATTAATACTTTACATTTATTGCCGATCAGCCTTGATCGAAGGATGATCCTGTAATGTTTCTTTTCATGCAACAATTCAAACACTCAGCCATCTTTAGAAAAGACAACACCTGCTCACCACCTGCTCTACTCAGAAACTTACACCATCTCTCACATTACCAGTCATGTCTGGAATATTCTCTGCACTCTCATGCAAACAACTGAATGTTCAGTGACATTCTTGAGCTCAAATTTTGCAATTTTCAGCATTCATTGTATAGAAAATGATATAAATTGTGTACCACTACTACATATAGTTCTATATGTGATTGCTATACAACGTAGCTGTATTCTTAAAAAAAACATTTATACATGTACAAATTGCTGTTTATAGGTGTATCTCTTTATGATGAATCCTTAAATACAATAATCCATCAACTTTGAGCAATAAATACTATAGAAATGTTATCGATTACAGCAGGAATCAATGTTAGCTCACCTTTGGGAAGGTTGCTTTTATGAATCTGAAAAAATGTCGTCATAAAACCCATGATGAAGCTCTAGTAAAGTCCATGCGTTTTTCTGATGTGACCGGTGAAAGGGTCAGGCAGGCCTCAGGCTCGCTGTGAGACCGGGGTAGATTTACGGCCAGTGTCCACTTACCTGTCTAACAGATATAATGGCTTCTCCCCGAAGCAACTTTAATAATTAAACGCCCTATTGGGTATTTCAGCCCATCAGCATTCACAATTAGTCCTGTCATTGTCACATGACATGGGTCTATACTGTAGTGAAGAACACAGAAATGTTAAAAAAAGAAAAACATCCCAGGGGTGATTTTTATAGAAACTAACAGATTTTATTTATGTTTAGGGCCACATAAATATTTTCTTAAAAGCTTTTTTTACATGCCTTCATTGTCTATCTTTGTACTTTTCAAATAAGTTCTGAGTATAGATTGTTTCCTCAGACCCTCAACTTCAACTACACTGAGGATTTTTTGAAGTTGTAAATAAAACAAAAAATATGTTTTACAAGAAAATGTATTTATTATTTCAGTCTTTCTAAATTCCACATTTAATTCGATGTGTTACTTTCCCTTTTCTTTAGTTTTCTTTGTAATTATTTGTTTCAATGTTTGTGTCAAAGGATATCAAACAGCGCTTTTTTTCAGTGTATCTATTATAATCTATTATAAAAATTATTTATAAAATGGATCAAATCTATTAAAAAAAATCTTAATTATCAAGACTATAATTATCAATATGATCTATAGAGAGAAAAAAATCAATAATCAACACAATAATGACTCAAACATTTCAATATGTATTTTGTGAAAATATTATACAGTTATTACTTATATATTTATCATTTATATTATTAATATGTAAATATAATTTATAAACGAAGTTAATTTTTTTTACAAAGTATGAGTAAATCTGGCATCATTTCCATAAATGTTTTTCCCGTTTATCAAACCTTTGTCAATTGTTGGGTTAATGTCCAATTTAAGCTATAAATTTCACAAATGATGCAAAAAGAATAAAAAATATCATTTTTATTTAAAATACATAAAATGCTAGGTATGAAATTAGCCTTAGACAAAGAATTTGTCCTATATATATTGTGCATATACATATAATGCATATATAATTACACCAATTTAACACTTTTTCAAATAAAGAGGCTACTCAATGCCGTTGTTGTTTGCCTTTACATATCTGTCCCTGTGTCTCTTCCTCTCACTGTCTCTCTCTTCTTCTCTTTCTACCTGCATTTCGTCCCTGCTTGCTTTGCTGACTGGAGAAGTGAAGCTCGTGTAGCATCAGAGGTATCTGTTGTTGGCAGCAGTGAGAGCCACGCTTGTGACATGGTGTTCTTTAACACTATCACTACCAATAGCATGCTGTTTTTCCCTTCAGACAATTAACACTTGTTTTGTGAGAGTCAGCGATGTTAAAATTGTACCTTCAATTGTGTGTTTTTTTTATTGAGAGGTGTGCTTTTGCTTTTCAAATTGATGAAACTTACAATGCCATTCAATAATTTGGGGATTTTTAATGTTTTTTGAAAGAATGTGATGCAAAGCTGAATTTTCAGCATCATTACTTCAGTCTTCAGTGTCACATGATCCTTCAGAAATCATTCTAATATGCTGAGTTGTTGCTCAAGAAACATTTATCAATGTTGAAAACAGTTGTGCTGCTTAATTTTGACATTAATATGACATACATGGATGTTTTCTTACATTTTTGTCTGCTAGTTACCTAATACATAATTTGATGAGGTTGACATTGCTGTATTATTTACATGGTTTTGCACAGTTGTTGCACTTAAAATCTTTTATTTCTCATATGATTGTGTCATAGTGTGTGTGTGTGTGTGTGTGTGTGTGTGTGTGTGTGTGTGTTGAAGAGAGAACAGAAGAGCCCTGAGGGTCAGTTGTAGTATGCTGTCAGCTTCATTCCCAGAATCCCTACAAAACCTTTCTTTCTTTCTTTCTCTCGATCTCTGCCTATACCTGCCTATCTCTTTTTCATGCATCTGTTTTGCGTCCTTATGAGATGTATGTGCCTTTTATTTCTCATTAGTTTAATCGCGTCCTCTCATTTCTCTGTACTTTCTTTTAATGACATTTTGCACAGAATAACACTCCTAAATGTTTCTGTCCCATCAGGGTGCACGCAATCCTTCCACCTAGTTGGCTGCAGTCTGAGTGATTGACAGCTGTAGATGACTGACAGCTGACCACCCCTCCCCCTTGGGTGCTGAGGCTAAGTGCAATGTCGCTGTAGCAACCACACAGTGTTTTAAGGGTGATCGAGTGAGCACCAAGGAA